GAGTGTCTGTTCTTGTGCCAGTACCATACTGTCTTGATGATCACAGCTTTGTAATACATCTTGAAGTCTGGGATTGTGATACCTCCAATCTTTTTCAAGATTTCTTTGGCTATTTGGGGTCTTTTCTGATTCCATGCAAATTTTAGGATTGTTTGTTCTAGCTATGTCTTATTTTGATAGGGATTGCTTTGAATATGTAGATTGCTTTGGGCAGTATTGACATTTTAACAATATTTTTTTCTTCTTATCCAGGAGCATGGAATATTTTTCCATTTTTTGTGTATGTGTCTTCAATTTCTTTCATAAGCTTTCTATAGTCTTCAGTATATTGATGTTTCACCTCTTTGGTTAGATTTATTCCTAGACATTTTATGGTTTTTGGTGTAATTATAAATGGGATCGATTCCTTGACTTATTTTTCTATTGCTTCATTGTTGGTGTACTTTTATTGATGTGATGAATCACATTGATTGTTTTTTGCAGATATTCAACCATCCCTTCATTCCAGGTGTCAATCCCACTTGGTTGTGGTGAAAATTTTTTGATGTATTGTTGGATCTGGTTGGCTAATATCTTGATGAGGATTTCAGCGTCTATGTTCATCAGGGAGATTGGTCTATAGTTCTCCTTTTTAGTGGGGTCTTTGTCTAGTTTTGGAATCAAGGTAATGTTGGCTTCATAGAAAGTTTGGAAGCTTTCCTTCCATTTCTATTTTTTGGAACAGCTTCAAGAGAATAGGTGTTAACTCTTCTTTAAATGTTTTGTAGAAGTCCCCTGGAAAGCCACCTGGTCCTGGACTCCTGTTTTTTGGGAGATTTTTGATTACTATTTCTATTTCTTTACTGGTTATGGGTATGTTCAAATTTTCTATTTCTTCCTGATTCAGTTTTGGTAGTTCATATGTCTCTGGGAATTTGTCCATTTCTTCCAGATTGCCTATTTTATTGGCATATAATTGCTCATAATATTCTCTTATTATAGAAGAGACACATTTTAAATCCAAAAATATGAATAAGTTGAAACTAAAAGGATGGAAAAAGATAGACTATGCAAACAGTAACCAAAAGAAAGCTGTACTAATATCATACAAAACAGACTTTAAAACAAAAATTGCTATTTGAGACAAAGAGGGACATTTTATGATAATGAAAGAGATAGAACAATTATAAACTTGTATGCACCTAGCAGCTAAGTCCTCAGATATGTGAAGGATAGACTGATGGAACCAAAAGGAGAAATGGGGATATGGTTGTTGCTTAGGGCTGGGGGTGAGGGACAGAGCATGATAGCTAAAGGCTGTGGGGTTTCTTTTCAAAATGATGAAGATGTTCTAGAATTGACTGTGGTGATGGTTGCACATATCTATGAATATACAAAAGCCATTGATTTATACACTTTAAGTGGGTTAATTATATGCATGTGAGTTATATTTCAAAGAAACTGTGATTGTTAATTCCAGGAACCTATAATATTGGATGATGGTCACTTCCTTCATTACCTGGGTGAATTTTTAAAATCTCTGACATTCTCTCCTAAAGATCCCAAATAGCAGTACACATCACTAGCAATGCCTGAATAAGTTATGGTGCACTGGGGTTTTCCACTGTAAATAACAGGATTTAGGGATCTCCCAGGAACCTACTCACAAACAAACTTGGACTAGTTAATAGTTTAGCTGCTCTGTGGAAGATAAGTCTCTCATTTTATCCTCTCAACATTACATTCACCCAAACTCCCATACCAGTCTCTTATTTTGGATGTTATTCCTATTTTTTTCTTCAAGGGGAAGGATAATCTGATTGGGGAAAGAATGTTTGTGTGTATCCAAAACTGAATCACATAGTTCTAAGAGAAATATTGTTTTTTTAAATTTTTAAATTTTTTTATTTAGGTATAATTGACACACAATGTTAACATTAGTTTCAAGTGCAAAACATAGTTCAGAAATATCCTTATCTAAATCACATTGGTCCAAAAGTGTTCTTGTACTTCAAACCATGAATAACCGTTTTTGAAAACCTGGTAAATATCTGGTATCACAAATATATGTCTAATGTATAATTTATATTTCCAGCTCTACACATTAATACTGACTTTACTTATGACTTATCCAGAAATACTTTCTTAGTCCTGTGGCCTAAGAAATCTCTGTAAAGTTAATATTGTAGATTATGAACTTTTGTTTCTTATTGTTTAACTGTCAGGTACTCTTCTTTCCTCAATACCACATAATTTTGGCCAGTGTCCCTTGAAAGATCAGAACAGTTATTATATTTTTGCTGTTTCTATTTACTCCTCTAACTACATGACCCAGTACCTTAAATGGTTGCATAAACAACAACACTGTAAAGTTAATGCGACTTAATAAAAATTACCCATAAGTAGTTTTGTTGCCTGCCATTTTTACATATGTAATTTCATAAACTCTTAACTATAACATAGATATATTTTGCTTTCAACTTGTTTCACCTAACATATCTTAATAATTCCGTCTTCCTATATCTTGTCTTTAAAATTACAATTGGCCCTGACTAACACAGGCTTGAACTGCACGTGTCCCCTTACATGTGAATATTTTTTGATAAATACAGTACAGTAAAACGTGTATTTTTTCTTCCTTCCAATTTTCTTTTTTTTTTTTAATTTTCTAAAATGTTTATTTATATTTGAGAGAGAGACAGAGACAGAGCATGAGTAGGGGAGGGGCAGAGAGAGAGAGACAGAATCTGAAGCAGGCACCAGGATCTGAGCTGTCAGCACAGGGCCCAACACAGAGCTCAAACTCATGAACTGTGAGATCATGACCTGAGCCGAAGTCAGGCACTTAATCAACTAAGCCACCCGACACCCTTCTTACTTCTGATTTTCCCAGTAACATTTTCTTTTCTCTAGTTTATTATTGGAATACCAGTATATAATACATATATAAATATGTTTTAATTGTCTCTTTATGTTGCCAGTAAGGCTTCTGGTCAATAGTAGGCTATTAGTAGTTAAGTTTGAGAGAGTTAAAAGATTTTCAACTGCACACAGGGTCGGCACCCCTAACCTCTGCATTGCTCAAGGGTCAACAGTATAATTTTAACAGACCACTGCATTGATGGGGGGTACAAACTTTCAGAGACTATTCAAATATTCAGAATCCCTTCTAGAATGAATGCAGCCATGTCCAATTCCAGTTGGTATTTGGCCACAGTTCCCTTAGTTATATGTGTCCCTGAACTGATGTGATTTAATTCTGGTTCTTTCTACTTCCACACCTATTAAATAACTGCTTTGTACAATTTTGTGAGCGTCTTTCTTACTTTCTTTAGCCTTTGTGCATTTCCATCCCTTTGATCTCTTTGTTACTTGGCCTCATAAAATTTCTTTTACAAGTCCAAGTATTTGTCCTATAGGCTTGTTTGACCTCATTCTCAACTGGTTCCTTATTCTTTACCAAGTACCAGCCACTCCTTTTGAAACTACTTTGGATCATTAGCATGAAGTAGAATAGATGGTCCTGAGAAAGGCCTTTAGGATTGAAATTTGCTTTTAGAATTGAGCCTTTGCTGTGATGGCTCCTTCCAGACTTACAGCAGCTTCTAACCACATTATGTCAGATAGTAGCCTAAAGTACCTCTAGGACACCAACACATTCAGTACAGTATGACACACCTACTTCACCAACATCAAGCTGGGTGAATTAGAATTTCATGATTAAAATGTTTCCTGGTATCTGTGTGTCTATAATTGTTAAAAGCTTGGCACATAGATGAAGATTATCTCCGTTCTTACCTAGAGGTTTTAGGGACATGGATTATGGTGAAAATCAAGAATAAACAAATACATATTTATTAGTATTCTATTTCTTCTACATCAAACTTTGTAGCTTAAAACAATACAAATTTATTATTTTACAGCTCTATACTTTTGAAGTCCAACATAGGTCTTGTTGGGCTAAAATCAAGACGTTGGCCAGGCTGTTTTGCTTCCTGGAGGCTTTAGGACAGAATCTATTTCCTAGCCTTTTCTAGCTTCTTGAAGCTGCCCACAGTCTTTTGCTCATGGTGTCCCTCCTCTTTCTTCAAAGCCAGCAACAGCTGGTTAAGTCCTTCTCACATTGCATCATTCCAACCTCCTCTTCTGTATCCTTTTGTATTTTTAAAGACAGTTGTGATTACATTGGGCCCACCAGAATAATCTAGGAAAATCTCTGTATTTTAAGATCCGTTAATTAGGAACCTTAATTTCTTTTGCAACATTAATTCCCCTTTATCATGTAATCTAACATATTCACACATTCTGAGGAGTAGCACATAGACATCGTTGGGGACTATTATGCTATTTACTGCAGCTGAAGTCAACTAGAAACTGTAGAATCTCTCTACTATTTATTTTAAGCTAGCAAATCACTCCAAGATCATGAGGCCTTGAACTGAGAGAGAAAAGGACCATTTATAGCAAAGCTTCCTTTAAAGGTCACCTATTCCAGATTCCAGTCTTTTCTTTAATACACGAGGAAAAGAAACTAGGGGGTATGGAGGTAAAGTGACTGGCCAAGATCACAGCTGGTTGTGGTGGGAATTGGAAAAAGCAGTTTTATAAAAATGTGGAACCAGGAATATTGGTACCGTTGATAGTTTTTAATGCTTGTTATATGACCAGCCCTATAATTTTTGTTTCTTGCTTGAGAATAACTTGCCATGATATGTATCTTATCCACATTAATATTCCATGTCATTGGTTTGGTGATGTGTCTGCTCTGCCTCATTCATGGGTAGGAATTTGGTGTTGAGTTAACTGCAGCATCATTTGCTAAAACCCAATGGTTTGAGTCTTGAGAGAGAACTCTAAGAACCACTGTAATAAAACCACCACTTCTAGTTTCTTTAAGTGCTAGATTCTGTACTTGACTCAAAGCCAGTTTATGGCTTTAATATTTACTGTCTTTACTGACTGTTACTATGAATTCACTGGATTCTCTATCCATGCCCCCCAATTTGTATTCCTACTTACAGAGGCTGTGTCATTGGACCTACCTTCCACTTTAATGTTCCTGCTCTGCACTTTGGCAATGTTTCCTTTGGTGAGTAATTTTTCCATTTTAAATTAGAAATTGAGTGGAATTGCCTCTCTGTCTCTACATGGAAAGAGGAAAGTTTACAAAGAACCTCTCTTACCAATTTTTTACAGGTAATAGCTAAGAGAGTCTAGAATTGTTCTCTTCTTCTGCTGCAGCAAAGGCATTTTGGTGCCATTTCCTAATTTATATGTAAAAGTTATAACTGTCCTGGGCACGAATAGTTTTCAAGCTGTGGTTGTCCCTGCTCTTTCAGTGGTGGAACACCAGAAAGCCTTAAACTTGACACTGCTATCTGAATGTTCGGAACACTCTATTTTATATGCAGGTTCTGATTTGCCAGTGTGTCTATGCAGCCTTTTCACAGAAATGCTCTCAAGTTTCAAGTGAATTTAGTGATGGTTTGACTCAGGTGTCCTCTCACTCCAAGCTGAGGACTTCTATATTTTTGTGTTGTCTTCTTGCTCAGTTACTTCCCGTGAGTCATTTCCTCCTGTCTCCACCTTTCCAAATAATAACAATGATAACAGTGGCGGCATTAGCAGTGAAAGTTTCCATTTATTGGTTCTTTCTCATATTCCAATCTCTGCTAAGTGAATCACATTCAGTACTACATTTAATCCTTTAAATCCTTTGGGGAGATACTATTTAAGATTCCCATTTTGGAACTGGAAGAACTGAGCATTCAAACAGGTAAATAACTTCCCATGATCATACAACAGTGGCAGAACACATATTTCACCCGAGCTCTCTCTAAATCATGCACTGTCAACTGGGATGATGTTGCCCCCAAAGGGATAAAGGTTGTTTGTTTGGGGTTGAAAAAAAAGAGTGTATAAGTACCGCGCGCTAACCGATTGCACCACTGGAGCTTTAGAAAAGGAGATAAAAACCAATGATACAAAGTTCTGGGTCAAGTATAAGTAAAAGAAGATTTAAAAAAAATAAAGTAGAAGGGTACCTGGATGGCTCAAAAAATAAATAAGTAAATAAATAAATAAAATTTTATAAAAAGAGTGTAAATCTAACCCACATTTGTGGTCCTCCAAAGTTCTACCCTACCCAACAGAACCTTATTCCTTAGTATTTAATTTTTCTCATTAGGGAGAAATTCATCTAACTTAAATTACATTTAATTAATTGATTTTTTTGAAGATTAATTCATCACAGTGGTTCTTTTTAGGAAGTAATAACAATTTAGGAAGGCTGAGAAGCACTAGTCTCAATACATAGTCCATAATCCTTTCCATTTTTCTCTATTGCCTCCCATTTTGAGTTTCAGTTCTTTTGCTTCAAGTAGGACCATCTACTTGGGGAAAAATTTTTTCTCTACAAAAAATATCCTTTCTTTGCAAAAACTGATTAATAATGTTTTTATCCATTGCATTAGCATTTAACATTACCTAGCATACAGGAAAATCTGTATAAATGGAGTTCAATGTCTATTTCTAAAGGCTGGAGGAATTTTTACAAATTTGTAGGGCATGTCTGAGTGATAGACTTTTTGAAGGAAAGTAAAAGTGACCTATAACTTGAATATTGTCTGTTGGCCAACTGAGAGAGGCATACTCTCTCAAGGGAAATTGTGACTAATGTGCAATGAGAGGTGAATTACCCAAAGACCTATGCAGTTACTCTCCAAACAGCTCAACTGAGTCCACAGAGAGATCTGGGCAACTGATGCATGACAGCAGCATACCCTTCCACAGACATTTAAATATGAACTCTAACACAGAACATTTGGAAGAGGTACCCTATATCATATTGCCTTGGAGGGAGAAAAAATAATCCAAATAAAAATCTCTGATTAGTCATTCCGAGAAATATTAGACTGATTCATTATCTAGAATCTGCCCTATTGTTTACCTCTGAAAGGTTAATGTAAATACTATACCAACAATAAGCCAATTTTTGAGCCCCAAGAATATCTGGAACACTTGTATCTATAATCCAAACATTTAAAAGCATCAAGGCCCCCTAATAGTACATTTCAGTGAAATATGCCAAACAGGAGGTGTATATATACCTCCTAGGTACCATTGATTTATTCAAAATTCTGTATTTGATATTGGCCAGCTCTGTATAATACAGTAGGTAAAACCATTTATGCATTCTCCAAAGCTAGGTAGGTTTTTTTCCCATTAACATCTTCCATTTGGCCCTCTCTTATCCCTAAGTATATAGGAAAAGCCATTATTGGGTAATGTATTCATTGTTTCCTTGAGCTATAGAGATAGTAATCAACAGTTGTTTCTCATAGTTGATCCAGCTAGAAGTTTTGATAACTAACTTAGATGAAAATTACAAAAAAGTTAATTTTTCTTTTGTTGCATAATATCTTACTAGACCACCTGGCAATAAAGCAGCTTGATAAGAGGTGGGAAGACACTACAGGGCCATGACCCAAGATTCCCAGGAAAACTTAATCCACTTAAGTCCACCTTCAAGATTCAAGTCGCATTTCTTTTATTTTAGATATGGATTCCTTAATCTTCTCTATGATGTGGAAGGAAATATTAATGAAAAACATGCCTTTTTGCTTGCCAACAGGAAATCTAGGGCTATTTGATTTTTAGAACCACTTGGGTCAGCTAATTCAGGCTACTTTGCTGTGCTTCTGGATTCTGCATTGTATCATCCAAAGTTAAGAAACATTTTGTGATACAATTTCAGAATTATTCTATGATAATATTTTTAAGTCCTAAAGTCGGAATTAGAGTTCTTTCATGACTCCTACCCAAGGTATCATTTTTATTTCTCCAGGAAGATTGGCCTCCTGTCACAAAGAAACATGGTACATTGAAGAGTTATTTATTGGAAACTTGCTAATTATTACCTCGCATGTGCAAATAGGGCTTTGATGAGGCAGACAAAAGTAAGCATGTGATTGGCTCAGGAATGAAAGACCAATAGGGGTGCATATAGTTCGAAATGCAAGAGAAATGAACTCTTACAGGACCAAGCCAGGGATTGGAGAAGTTATTTCAGAATGACAGACATTGTATGGAGTTAAACAAGGTTTGCAGAGACTTGTAACTCTGGGGAGTGCATTGAGCTAACTAAAGTTGGTGATATTGTCCTCATCTTGGCATGAAGGCTCATTCCTAAAGAGGTGTCTGTTATAGGTTAATATTAGGGACATGACCTTTATTTGCTTAGAGATGCAGATCTAGATTAGGCATCAGGGCCTATTGGGATTGATGGTGTCCAGTTATTATAAACACCCTAAAGTAGATGACAGGTAGTAGTACTGTTGTTTGGTATCTGAATTGTTTAAACTATGGCTATAAATATTTTGATGGTAGGATTGGATGTTGGATGACATGTCTAATAATTAATTAAGTTGACTGAGCAATAGTAGTAGCCTGAAAGAGTCAGATTATAGAATTTAGGTGGTGATTATCTCTGAAAGAACAGTGAAGCCTTGATAAATCCTCAAATTCATCAAAGAATACAATAGACCAAGTAATAAATGATATGCTACATTATAGACAAAAAGGGTCAGAGTGTATGTATTTGCAAGCTGACTGTTTTTCAGGAGGTACAGGAATATGTTGAACGAGAATAGGGATTTTGGAAGGCTCCAGGAATTCAGTGGACCTGAGCATTGTATAATTTTGCCAGAGAAGTTAGGGTTTAAAGGCTATAAACATTAAAAAAAAATCATGATGGGGCGCCTGGGTGGCTTAGTCGGTTAAGCGTCCGACTTTCGCTTAGGTCATGATCTCGCGGTTCGT